CTTTTGCACTGGCTGAGTGTGGCCCACCACAGTTTGCACAAGTACGCTTGGAGCCAGTACTATGAGGACACTCCGACTTGTCATGGGGTCCAGCGCACAATAAACATTTTCTTGGACCATTGCACCCACCTGCCACGTGTCCAACATCCTGGCATCGGAAACACCTGAGCGTTGCCAAAACAAATGGTCTCACTGGGTACCTGAGGTAATCAATGTAAACCTCCTTGGGCAACTGCCGCCCCTCAAAAATCACCTTCACTGCGGATGACTCTGCTCTAACTCCTTGATGGTGGCTTGAAAGACATACCATCCCTGCGATCTTCACAGTACCTGACTTGGCTGTCTCTAGTAGCTCAGAAACTTCTACTGATGGGTGAATTGGTCCAATCACTCCACTTATAGTAGAGTCAAAACCAGGTTGAGTGCACTTGACTTGCCATATTCCTATTTTAGATACTTCAAGGAGAGAACTAAGGTTGGAATTTGAGATGGTTCTGAACTCAACTGCCATTAGGTTTCTTCTCGTGTTAGTACGTACTTTAAATTCAGAAAATTTACCAAATGGAGAGTCTCTCAAACCGCGGGCTAACTTGACAGGGTTTCTAAGAAATGTGCTTGAGTTAGAGCCAATTGGTTTTATAAGAATAGTGAGTCCCTTACCCTGACTCAGGAGAGTTGCATTCTCAACAACACGGACATGCTTCTTTCTGACACTGTCTGGTACACTTTGATCTCCATCCACTGGTCCAAGAGGGCCTGAGCTGTCTATTCTGCCACCATCTAATGTTTAGACGCATACACTCACAATTTTTTTATAGCCGGGTTAAGACTTGTGGCGACAAATGCGCCCACCAGCCCGATCTCTGTCAGAAGCATACGTACACTCACATGTAAGCGGCGCGCACGGCCGGGTGCAGAAGTCTCGCAGTGTATACTTTAGACAGCTAAATCAGGTTTGTTTTGTTCCAATACTATATATCGCATAATCACCCAAGATCAATATGTCATCCTTAATAAAATTGTTGTGTACAATTTTTCATTAAAGAATTTATGAGTGCTTATTATACATATGAGAATCAATTTTGATTGATTTAAAGGAATAAAAAATGTTTTAGTTTTGAATCAGCAATGTTTATAACGAATCGCTCTACGATTTAGTATCTTATAAATAAATTAGACTATAGATACAGATTACTGAAGAAATTAATAAAATTTGGAAAATAAATGATGTACATAAAAGTTTTTTATTTATGAGGAGCTCTTGAACATCAAAACACAAGGTTGATTCAGTACGAACAAAATATTGTTCGTCTGCAACATATCGCTTTCATCCAGGTCTGCGCGTTGACTCGTTCGTTCTCGTTAGTGTTCTCTCAGCCTTTCACATATTTACTTATGGTGAATGTTCATGCAGAAACATTGTTATGTTGTTGAATGGTACATTCAAATTATCTGTTTTGATTTAATGTTAAGTTAATGATGAATTGTAATATATAACAAAGTTTTAGGATGACATCTTACCGGCACTCTGGAAAATGGCGCCCGTTAACATGAAATGTGCAAATAGGAATTAGGATGATATATTTTACTGTGTTTTCTTCAACTTTCAAGTAGGACAAGCTGGCTCTGATTTAAGGCAAATTGGGCTAGGGCTTATATTTTCATCAAAAATGATTTTTTGTAGGACCCAATCGGACCCATGTTCCAAAATTTGGAAAAAATATGCATCAGAAAGCTTTCCAAAATTCATCAACACAGAATATTCAAAGCATCTGTTAATGTCATTGTCATATCAAAATCAAATTTAAATTATTCTCTACAGTCTCGTGTATCCAAAGCAATATCTAGAGGATTTACTGAATTTACAATTAGTATAGGCAAGACCTTTAGGTAGGTATACCTAATCCTGTTCTTATTTCATTCTGCTGTCCCTGCAACTTGTTGAGTTAGAAGTTCAGAATAAAAAATGACTAGGCATGTTGGAAACAAAAATCTTCATCCTAATTGGCATATCGGTTTAAGCATCTCAAATGAAAGATCTCAGTGAGTTCTTTAGATGTGTCAATTTTTACTGACTTTGATAGAAGAAAAAAGTCACTTAAGAACTTGTAAACCAAAAAACAATCGATGTCCTTTGAGACACATTTCTCTTCAAAACTCTAAATTTGTGAGATATTTGAAAAAACTTCTTTGGGAGCAGGACTTAGAATCGTTGCCAACTCGGCAAGCCCTGGCCCCAGGCTAGTATGGAATATATCTACTTGGCGACAGGCATGGAATATATCTACTTGGTGAGCCGCGACTGAATTTTTTGAGCCGTGGTTCTATGGATTTGCCAGCCGTGATTCCATTTCTATGAGCCGTGATTTGCTTTGACATGACCGCAACTATGCGCGATCTTCAACAAACGTTTTGTTTATTTGTTTACATTACGATGTTTATATTTTTTCTGCAAGATATTTTTGGCGGAAACGGTAAAGCAATGCGGATTGCGGAAGTTGAAAATTTTATGAAATGACATGTTTGCAAAGTGCAAACCGCGATTTTTTAATCAAACAAAAATTTATGACATTCAAGCCGCGAGATTTCATACCTACTGAAATTATATGATATTAGAGCAGCGATATTTCAGACAAAAATAGGACTTTTCCAGACTAGGCCCCAGGGTGCATAGAAGTGCAATAACTCCTTGTTAGCAGGTGCCATGCAGCCACAATTTAATTATTTTGTTCATGTTAATACTTGGGCTATGTTAAGTGTAAAGGAATTTAAACTAGAATATGGCCAAAGAGAATGCATTAAAAGGGAACTTTCTGGTGTAAAAAGTTTTTCAAAATTTAATGTTCTGCCATGTTACCAGTTACAATGCCAATTTTGGCACTTTAGATGTCCCTAAAGCCTAAACTCATGTCAATGACTTGCTGATGGTTTCAAACAATGCAAAACCCTAATTTGCACTCATGTTGCTCGTGGCAACTTCTTCAAAAAATCTCTCCACGAGCAGTTTTTTTATGATTTCCACAAAATCTATTTAGTCATAAACCATTCCCCTGATGTATGTATTATATATGATACCCTAAAATGATATAGTTGTCCAAAAAAATGACAAAACTTTATAAATACTTCATATAAACATTCCACAAAAATTATTATTTAGTTGAAAAGACTTCACCAGAGGTTTCTACAAGATGCTGGTGAAAAAATGTAGCCATCATTTAGCCTTTTTCAAAGAAATCTGAAAAAACCCTCAACTCGTCAAAAATCAGAGTCTCATTCAAAATCAAAGTCAAAGCTCCCACAGAATTGACTCTCCTCTTGGGTATGGGCAAAATAGGACATATATTCAAGGCAATTTCTTCTCTGCTAAGACAAAAGTCTCAGGTGCCAAACTTTGCACACATCTCAGGCATAATCATGTGACCCTTTTAAACTCCTCAGGCAAGGCAGTTCAGGTCTTAGGGCAGTAGGGCCTGGTCTCTTAGCCAGCTCACAGTGCCCTCTTACAATATCTATAGCCACAATCTATTTATACACATACTATCTATGAAGGCTTGTAGTTCACAGTAGTTGAACTATTTAATGTATTATTCTCTGAGTTGAGCTCAAATCATCAACCTTCCAATAATAATTACAATAATATTACTAAAAATGAACCGTCAACTGGGGTGAGTTTGGCTGCTGGGGCGACTTCGGCCGCATTTTTTATTTTGTTTTGCAAACAAAAATGGGGTTGTAAGTGCCAAAGTCATAAACGCCAGGGTCGTAAACGAGGTCATAAACGCCAGAGTGACTTTGGCCATCGTTTATGACCCTGCTTTCATTTGCAAGACAAAATCAAAAACGCGGCCGAAGTCACCCTGGCAGCCGAAGTCACCCTGGCAGCCGAAGTCACCCCAGTTGTTGGTAATGTCTTGTATCCAGAAGATTAAAAATTTCTCACATATCACAATAAGGTTCTAAGGATTTGTAAATATTGTTGCTGTATAAATTTTTTCTTCATGTCTATCCAAATAACTTCTTAAAATCTATGTAAATGGATATTTATTCCATATAGCCTCCAGCTTCCATGTGTGCCATTATTTGATATGCTCCTACATGCTATGAATTCTGGACATCATGAACATTTTGCATATTTCAGATTTTGTAATGATACTGTTTGAGTGATTGAAAAACTCCACTGACTGGATTTTAACTAAAGTAGGAGTAATGGATGTACATGGTTGCAGTGCTGCTACCTCCCACAGTATGAAAGAAGGCAATTCAAAAAGTAATTCAGCCACTATCAGTGATGCTAAAAATTCAAGTCAACTTCAAAGCAATACCAGTGAACACTGCAGAACAGAATCTGTTGCTCCTGACAGAACTAATGACCCAAGTGATGGTGCTATGAATGTAAATAATGTATCAAGAGAAAGCAATGTTATTGATTTAAAGAGTAAGACAAATGGTGAGGATAGTGTTTCTAAACATTTGCCAAAATGTGTTGAGGAGCCTGTTGATGATAAACATAATGCCGTAACAGCCCTGACTAAAGAAGAGTTTATGATCCTGTCACCCGAACAAATGTGGGAACATTGCCAGCAGCTCTACATTGCAGCTCAAAAACTTCAGGCAAAACTTAGTATAAAAAATGCTCCTAGTTCTTCTACAGGTTAGTTTTGTTTAACTGTATTCTGGTAGTAGTTTTGTGAATATGATTGTCATAGTAATATTCTGATTTTATCCAGAACTTTCATTTCCAGTTAGACTTCCATAAATGGAACATTGGTCACCCCCTGTGAAGAGAGTTTAATTTCTTTGTTTTTTTCCTGATATTACATTCTTCAATGTTTTATTACCAGATGGACTATTTCATTCAGGAAGCTTGTATACAGCAGTTGAGTTTGTTGAGAATATGAATGACATTCCACTTGATCATGGATGTATATCATGACACACATACTGTCATTTTTTAAAATGATAATAATAATAATAATATAATATAATAATAATATAATAATAATAATATAATCCTATAATTGTTTTTGTATGTTTGTCTTGTATTGAAAATTGACCCATTAAATCAATTTTTTCTTTTGAACCTGATGCAATGTGTTTATGAAGATGCTGATGAAGGTGACTTGAGAGAGGCTGCTGAACGTTTAAAGAGTCAGCTTGCAGAGGCACAGAGGAAGGAAGCGTATCATATCATGAGACTGTCAACTAAAGAGCATGAGCTTCAAGAGATGGCTGTGAGTAGATCATTTTTTTTTTCATAAATAGAAACTTTCATACACATAAAATTGTTGATATGATGAATAGTTGCATTATCACCTTCATTTTATCAAAATAGGATAATTTCTGGAAGATCTCTATTGAGATACTATGACTATTTAATTGTGAAAACTTTAATAATAAAAATATGATAAACATGCACCTCCAAGAACTAGGATGTGCGCTCCTCATTGTATTGGTAAAGAAAAATACTTTTTACTTACATATACAAACACATGAAATCTGTGCAATGTACTATTAGAGTCAATTTTGAGCATGTCCAGTAGCTTGTGAAACTTTCAGGATTTGGTACTTGTTCTGGGAAGTTCTATTGAATCTATTTCAATATTGGATTACTTAGTTTTTATTATTAATGGAGGTTTACATGCATTATATATCAACCTTCATTGTTCAATTCATTATATATGTAGTTATATTTTTGTAGTATTCTATAAATTTACCTACTGATACTAGATTTCAATATTTCTATTGCATTCTGCTATGATAATTTATTGAATGCTCTTCCATGGACTTATCTTGTACCTTGTATATATATATATATGATGCTGCTGTAGTCATGTGGCCAATTATTACAAAACTCTGCTTGTCTCTTATTTGTATTTGTTTTAAATTGCCATTTAGTGATTAGTGACTGCGGGTGATTCTATGTAATAGGAGCTGAAGTGATGGTGCACCAAGTGGTTTTCCAGGAAATTTGTTTGATTTTTATCTCATTACAAGTGCAAGTTAATTTAAAGTGCAATAAATTATTTACAGTGTCCACTGAGTGAAATATGTGTTGATTACCTTTCAATCTCTTTAAACTAAATTTTTTGCTCAATTTTTTTTTTGTTGTACACTATATAAGTGTTTATTTTGCAGTTGGCCTTGATACCCAAGTTATATAAGCTGTTGGCATTACTCTCTACAAAGTTCTTGTCAGCTCTTCATGACTTCTGTTCATAAATTATCCTCTGAATCAATTGGTTTCCACAAAAGAAATTTGTGTCTTCTGGAAACATTGAAAAAAATACTTAACTTTGAGTTCATGTCCAAGTGATACAAAATCCAATGAAGTGATGCTGCTACTAAAATGCAAGTGTAACAAGATGTGTAATTGAGAGCATTTAAACTAAAAATATTATTCTTTTGCAGTTTTGTTTGCTTTGGCTAGATTTTTGTTCATTTGTGTAGGGGAGTGTTGCATCATCCAAGAGTTACAGCATCGCCCGTGGGTCCTTGCTTGATCCTGCAGTCAACCTCTGCATTGAGCGCCTAAAACGTGACCTTGAGGCAGCCCGTAGCAAGACGGAGGAGGCCCAGAATGAACTTGCAGCCTGGAAATTCACCCCTGATAGGTGCGACTCTCTTTCCTGTGAATACTCTACTTTTAATGAAGCTATAATGGTGAATATTTTTCTCATATAAGCAACATTATTACAGTGTAATTGGTGAAACCTAGTGAAAGAATACCTAATGGTGCTTGATAGAAAGTATAAATATACTGTTTGATTCAGTTAAAAGTTACTATATGGTCATAAAGTAATGGTTCTCATCTAATTCTGCTGTTGATACGAGAGTCCTGCTAGTGTTCTAAAGTGATTTCAAGTGCTTGTGTTTGAAGCCATTTCTAAATATTGCAAGTGAAATTAGTATCTATTTATCTACCGAGTGTTAATGATTTTTTCCTCATTTATTGAATAGTAAAAATATATTGTGATGTGTTCTCTGTTAGATAACTTTTTCAAGAAAATATCATGCTGTGAAAATCTATGTTAATATTCTGAAGAGGCACATTCCCTCTCACACATGACCAATGTAAGCAAATTTAATGAAGTCTGCAGTGTTCATCATCAGAAACTTTTTAGAAGTGTTCAAAATTGAATGTTACGTATGCTTTGTCAACACATTAGGGTCTAATTGAATTCATTATCAAGTTCTCTATTTAGCTTGTAACCAAATTATTACTCAAACACAAACAGTAACGAGTTTTGTGGAAATCATTAGGTATATTTGTGTTAATTTAATGCATTTCAATAAAAAGATATAGCATTTTCAGAATATGGTCCATTTCTTGTTTATAATGTAGTGAATCAATTATATATGGAATGCTGTTACCAGTTATAATTTTTCATTGAAGGTGGTATTGAAACAGATATCTTGTGATTGGCTTGCTGAGTTGATATCATTTTAATGCCTTTTAGTGCAAATTTGTTAAAAATTCAAATTACCTATATATGTAAACAATTATATTTTATTGGTCCAGAAATGTGGTAATGATATCCAATTTATTTATGGATTTCAGAAGCTAGAAGGCTATATTTTGTTCTGAAATGGTTATCTGAAAAAGACCTTGGAATGAACACTGTCATTCTGCAATTTTTCTTGTTTGCTTTCATTGCAAAGGAAATATTTAATGTCAAGTTGATATGAGTGCAAGTGCCAAATTTAAAAAAACATACATAGACTGTGAACACTTATTGATGTTCACAGAATGGAGTCATAAAATATCTATAACTGCAGTGACATTTGTTGTATTAACTTTATTTATTACCAATGGCTACATCATATGCCATGACCAAAGTGCTTTGATAATGGAGACATAATCTCCAAAAAGAAGATATCTAGTTACTAATTGGAATGTGCATTATAATATCTGGAAGAAGGAGCCCAACATGTTCATGACTTCATTTCATTAACTACCTGATGAAAAGTTGGTGGTCAAGATTTTTCAGTCTTTTTTGTCATGGTGGTGTAGTTACATGTGTTTGAGCTTTACAATTTTCCCTACATCATTATTAAAAATTGGTGCATTACATCTCATGTGACAAGTGAAAACCATTATTTAAAATTAAAATCTCACATTACTGAAAATTGAAAATGGTTTCCTGCCAAAAAAATTCCATCTAAATATCTTCAGAAGAAACATTAAAAGCTGTGATATAATTTTAAAATGTGTTCATTGTGTGTTCCAATTTTATGATGTTCAATTCCTCTAAGATAAATTCAGTGATAAGGGAAGATTTTATGAGTTATATACATATTCAAAGATATGTTGGAAGAAAATCAAGACAGCAAGACTTGAGTTTATTTGATTTATTTATTGGAACCATTATTGTTGCAAATTGCATTGAAAATATTTTCAATGCACTCGAGTTCTTCAGAGCACTCATGTGAATAAAAAAAAAGAGAAGTTTACTGGCAAGTGACTTGAAGAAGGCTGTGTTGATAAATTATGTTCTATTTATTCCTATGATTTCACTCTTCGGAAAAGTATGATATTGAATATAATTTTCCTTGCTTTGTGGTGCTTGCTTTTTAATCAATTTATTCACTGTAGTGAAGCAAAATTGGCTTTATTTATTCAGAGTGCATTTTAAGTCACAATGTTGATATTACCTGCAATTATTTATCAGGATTTAAGTTTAGCTCCTATGTTGTAGCTGAAGAAACAAATTTCACTTGGCATGAGGTTTTTCACCAAATGGCTACTTGTAATCAATTGTAAATTAATCTGCACAATTTCTCAACATGTCGTCATTACTAAATAGAATAGGCATTGCCTTGGACTACTGCTTCCAATCTGGTGAAAATTAATTTTTTGAAATCGGTTGCATCAGTTTGTTAGCTGTAGTTTTCATAAATCTGTATTGCAATCAGTAACTTTAATCTTTATTCTACCCTTCTATTCTTTTTCCATGTGTCTGCAATGTGTTTTCACAGTGATAGCTAACTTCTTGTAATGTAATTTCCGTAATGTCCTTAAATTATGATATTTCAAAACTGACATACTGGCACCTGGACAATTTGATTACTGTATTGTGTATGTTGTTGCAGCAACACAGGCAAGCAGCTGATGGCTAAATGCAGACTGCTTATCAAAGAGAACGAGGAGCTGGGACGTGCCATCAGCTCTGGCAAGGTAGCCAAGTTGGAGGGCGACATCACAATGCAGAGAGAGTGCACCGAAGAACTCAAAAAGTCACAATCAGGTGATGAGTTAACCATGATATTATTGCTTGGATGGACCTGATAGATAATGTTTGTTTTTGCTTAGGAAAGGTGATTATTGGGCAGATAAGAAGTTCCAATCATTTAGTAAGGTAACCTCCATAATATTGCTTGGATGGACTGATCAGTTAAGCACAATATTAATTCTGAAATAGATTGATCAGTTGACCACAATATCATTGCGAGGATGGCTCTGGTATTCTTTATTCTAGCCAGGAACTCTAATAGTGACAAATGGCTGAATGAAAGTAAGAGATTCAGAAATATTCATAGGGATGTGTTTTTTCTCTGCATTTTAATCAGGAGTTCATGCTATGTAAGTGAGCGAATGAAGTTGCAATCATTCATCTATAATGTTTAGAGCTCATATTTAACAATGCATATTCCAGCCAGAAATTTAATTAGAAATGTTTATTGCAAAACAATTTTTAAATGCACAATTTTGAAGTTCGTTGCTGTAATTTCACTGGTAGTTGTTTACCTTATGAGCTGTTGAAGTAGATGGACCAATGACTGAAAAGAGCGAAATTAAAAAAAATGAATTGAAAGTTAGTTATTCAATCATAATTTCTTCTGAATATTCGGAATATTCTCTTATTCTGTTTGGAAAATTGTTGGTGATGCTTTTTAGCGCTTTTTCTCATTTATGGAAAAAATGCACTATTGTGCTCGCCATGTCCGTCCGTCCGTCTGTCTGTCGGTCCGTCCGTCTGTCTGTCTGTCGGTCCGTCCGTCTGTCCATGACCTCAAGTTTTCGTCGACGAGAAAATGCGCTCTCTGTCACTCACTGCAGTGAGTATATATATATATATATACTGAGTTATATTTTTTTCTGTCAAGCCCTGGTGGAGAAATCATTAGAAAGAAATTAGTTATTAATATCATCATTTGTGCCCAGAGCTGGACGAATTCCTCATGGAGGTGGAGGAGGAGACGGAAGGCATGCAAGGCACCATCCTTTACCTCCAACAGCAGCTGCGTTCTACGAAGCAGCAGCTACAGCAACTCCAAGCTGCGCAAACGACCAGCATCAACAACAACAGCACATGCAACAGTCCTGTAGTAGCTCTATCCGCAACCCCTCCAATGCAGCATCCTGCAGCAAGTTCATCAGCAACGCCATTGTCTCCTCAAAGAGTTGCAACCTCATCCAATACTGCTGCGTCGTCAGCTTCCGTCATGAATGAAACGCCTGCTGCTGTAGCTGAGTTATCAGCAAATATGAACCTTGAAAGCAAAGTCCCGATGAGCCCTATAAAAGAAACTCTCGATCCCGAAATAATTCCCGACATTATGGAGAGCTATACAGAAATTCCTACTTCAAGAGAAAGTGCAGTAAAGACAAGCCTACATGAAGATTTAGTTAAAAAAGAGTCAAGTGTCAAAGTTGAGTGTCTAATTCCAAGTGATGCTCGTGTACCGAGCCCGGAGAAACGGGGCCTTGACGATGTGTTGTCTGATGTTGAATCAATGATAATACCGCATGATGAAGTGCTGGTGGCTGTTGATGGCCAAATTTCTAATGGGCAAAAGAGAACTAGACCGAATACAGATACTGAGTCCCTCGATAGTACAAGCAATTGCGAACCAGTAAATGAGCCCATGTGTAAAAGAACTAAGATTACGATGCTTGGAGATGAAGATCGCTCGAGCGAATCAAAGCCTAATGGCTTGCCAGAGTGAAGACCATGACATTAGTTAGTATATATCACATTATCTCGTAAATTCATGATCAAAATTTGGTATGGATAAGAAACTTCTCTAATGTAACAACGGAGTAAGAATGATTTGGTCGGCTTCTGACACTAACTGAAGATGTAGAAACTTGGTTGTGTTCGCTGTTCTGTTTCTCCATCTCCTGCATTTAACTCTTAACAGACGATTGATATTTTGTTTAATTATTCAATTGGCTAGGGATAATTTGTTTTAATATCTCACTGGTTAACTGCTAGGTATTCTCCATATACTTTTGGTCAGCCGTGACTCTTGCGTAAGTAATAGTATGTTTGGAGTTCTGATTGTATCTGTGGCTACTCTAGTCTTTATTTGCCATTAAGACCGTCGAATATGTGAAAAATTTCTTTAGCTTCAATTGTTTTAACTGCAATATTTTATATGTCTAAATTATATTTCCATTAAAATTCTTGTGAATTTCAGGTGGGTCTGAAAAAGAATTTTTTTGTACTAAATCGTCATCCATTTATAGAAAAAGTGTCGTTATTGATTAACTTTTGACCAACTCCAAGATCTGTTTTTCGTTTTCGTCATACGCTGATTGTGGTTGGTCAATAAGACTACAATTTTACCTGTACTTCAAGGTGTTACAAACATGTGCGTTTAAAGAAAAATAAAGTCTTCTGAAATGCTGGAATCCCGTTTTGTCTTAGCCAGGGGCAGTCGGTAAAATAATATTCTTGGAAAATGAAAGCGTATAAAGTCTTGTACATGCTTGTGTCGTGATAGACGGCTGGTAGGACTAGAGTATGTTTTCCCAGTATTTGATCTTCCGTCCTGTAATTTCGTATCGTGTAAAGACAAAAAACATTGGATGATCTCATGCGCCACTGAAGAACGAAAAAAATTTTTTTTTGTCTCGAGTTGTCATCTCCTACCAACATTTCTTGAAGTCTTCATCTCCTCTCGATGTTTCAAGTTAAAGAGTAAATTGCATCTGTTTGAGGATAACAGGTGTACATTGTACATTGCTGCTTAATTAGTACTACTTTGATCGGACGTCTTTATTAATTCGTGTTTTCTATATTAACACTGGGCTCGTTCTCCTTTTATTAACTCGTATTTGAACAGTTTTTCAAGACAATGGGGGATGAATTAATAAATCATCTGGCTAAATAATGCACAAGTAGAGTTGATTGATCAGATCGGCCGAGCCCTAGCACAAGAAAACATGAATCACCTTCTTTCATTTGATTACGTAAAACATTTGTTGTCTTCATCTCTAATTTCTTTCTACAGCAACTGAGAGATTCGGATCAATTCACAAATTTATTATATATTGTGCTGTTGTACATGCTTGTCTGTATTATGTCGTATTTCTAGAAGTGATTGCCACTACACTTGAACTTGGGCCTGCCCTTCTTGAAGTTTTCGGTAATTTTTTAACCATTTGTGATGACAGTTTGGTTATACATTCGATGGGCATCTTGCACACAATCGCCATCATTCACTGTCTGAAATCTTGAAGGCCATCAATAATCTATCGTTTTTGTGTTTATGATCATGTGCATCAATATCCAAGTGAAATTATTTTAAACTAAGATGTAATCCACAAACCCTTAGTGAAGAACATATTGAAGAAAGTGCAACTGATAACTTGTTATTTTCTCACTGGTGCATTCACCTGCTCAAATAATTTGTATGTCCCGAGGCGCGGGTGCCGATGACCGAAGCTGCCTAACAAGGCTGGTTTATAATTTTTTATGTCACATCTCGGTGAGAATTCGTACTGATTCTTTTCTAGGCTTAAGCGTTACGTGTACAAAGATGACTCAAATGCAATGTGATGATAGAGAGAATGGTCTCAGAAGTTTTATTTTCCAACTAATGATCTAAGATCACGACCTCTTGATTAATGAAACACGAAAATGGGTTGTGAAGCACCAATTGTCAATTCAAGTCAGTTTGTTATCAACCAATGCAAAATATTTCACTGACTGGTAACATATAAAAATCAAGATTTCATTTGATCGAAGAACTATTTTAATTGCGTTAAACATTTTCTCTGATTTGTCGGAACAAAATCCAAATACGACTCTCGTTCTAAACACCTAGGAGTCTGAATGCACCGTCCAGTCACTAGCAATGTTGAGGGCACTAAAACAACAGTCATTTTCAGGATTGTTTAATATGTTGCGGAAACAAGAAACTGGTTACAATTTTGTGTCAAGGGGCGCTGAAATCTAAGTCGCAACGTTAAATCCGTCCAAGCAATAGCAATAGAAATTAATTATGCTGTGACGATTGTCGAGTTCTATTGACATAATGTACAGAGTATGACACGATTATGGAATTAAATTAGACCCACCATAGTAACCCAAGCCTCGGATTACTTCAGGATTTCGAGCAAACCGTTCAATTAACAAAATATTTTAACAATTATGAGCTAGTAGCCCAGTACATACGCCGGCTCATTAATAAACAATGGACAATATGAATATCGAAAAGGTTGTGGCCCCTGGTTGAGGCACCCTGGGGCGCCACTAGGTTTCAAGGGCAAGGGAGGCTAAGCCTCTAGATTTATGATCACATTTATGTTGATAATGACTGGTTTTATGTTTATTTATTCAAACTTATATTCTGGCCACATTTAATTGAATTTGCCGGCATTTTTTATAAAAAAAAATCTTTAAAGAAACGATCACAAAAAGAGGCCCCGTGACGCCGCTGAACTCGCATAACGATTAACTTTATCAATTGAAAACGTATCTCTAGCGCTAGAAATAAAAATACTTGGTAAGGACTTATCATATTCAATATATGTACAAGCATTGTATTTGGGAAAATACATTTAAAAATATAACGTACTTTACTACGTATTCATGAAGTGGACGAATTAGATTTTTAATCTGGTCCCAGTTAGGGAATCTGTTGAACTATGAGCATGAACTATGTTTGTTTAAGAAATATAGCAGTTTTGCCTCTGATTCTTTTTTTAATGCGTGGTTAGCAGTAACACTTACAGTAATCTCATTTCAGTTCAGTTAAAATAAGCTCACTGAATATAAATGCTTTTTAACATTACCCTTAACTCTTCTAACCGATAGCGATCAAACAATCATAAATTATAGTATATTCTAGAACTGTACCGTAAGTTGAATTTTCTTTTCGAGGCTTCATCTCCTGTTGGAACCTTTGGCTGGGATACATCGGCCGTTTGAAAAGCAAACTTTTGGCTCAGAACTTCTAATCTCTAAAACTGTAGATTGCCCAATTACTGTTCCTTCTTTACCTGCCAGGTCTGCTCTGGGATTATCGCCTTTGGAAATTTTGTGTTCCTCTTCGTTGCTGACAGGGCGGGAACGCAGTAGCGATTCAATCTCTTCAAAAGTGGACATCGTGGAGCTTTTTTGTGGTGCTTCAATTACGGGAAGAGTGCTTTCTAAAGACACATCTCTAACTGGAGTTTGAGTCTCTTCTGCTTTCTTGAAGCCTTCCTCAACCGTCCGGAATGGTTGCGCGCTACTAATGAAAGAGTCCGTGTTTATCGCGGAGTCGTTTGAAATTTGTGTTACTGGTTCGACATCATAATTTTGATCGCCAGCTGAGGGGGTATCAAGTTTTTCGTATATCTCGGCAACTTCGGATGGAGCTTGAGCGTAGACGATGTGTGTCCTGGACTCAGCCACCGCACCTCCTACTTCTTCGTCGTCGCTCTCACTTGGATTGGAGGACGTCCGAGGGCCTTGGCCTTCGTTGCTCAAACCTGCTTCTTCTGTTGAAAACAGATTTTATGCATCATTGTGGGAACTTTAAGACTTTTTGTTGAATTTAATTTCTACTACTGTGCAGAACAACTCACAGATAATGGGCCAAAAATAATATGTTTGTACTGTAACTGGGAAATAATTTAAATACAGCTACTAACTTTTGATTAATTCGGTAATTATTTTTGCTGCATCCTGCTCACCTACCTGACTGATGTATGCCAATGATCATCTCCTCATCTGGTGCTTCAACTTTCTGGCTATCAAATATCGCACCCACTCCTAAGTCTACGTCGTAAGCGTTGTCGGGAAAAGTTTTAGGTTTCTTGTCTTTTCGATAATCTTTCTTTCCAGTTTCAGATTCGTCTTGTACAGGAGAGTCGTCAAATTCAGAAGTCTGAATATCAGTCGTAGGTGCTACGGAAGAAACGCGGGTAGAAATGAACTCAACATTAGGACCTAAGTCAAACACACTGACATTACCATCTTTCGATTTTGGAAGATCTGTTGGATCGTTTTCATCACCTAAAGCAATAATTTTACGCCCCGTTTCACCTTTCCCATCCATTAGTTTGCCCTGGGGCTCAGATTTATCATGTGCGATTTCGTCTTGCTCTTGTTTATCTGCGTTTCTGTCAGACTCACGGTCTCTAGCACCCCGGTCTAGGAAGGAAACTCTGTCACGGATCGAGGGGGCTTTGAAGTACTGCTGGCCTCTAGAAAGAAAGCTTCGAGTTGGAGGTTTAATCGCAGCAGGAAGATTGAATGATGGGAATCGTCCTTGATACTTAGAGGTTTCGAGAATCGTCAGTTTTTCAGAGTCAAAGTCATTGATTTGGCTTTTACCCTGTTGTACGTACGTTCGAGTGTGAAGAGGCACTATCCTTCTATCGATTTGTGGTCGGGCTTTTTCTTGAATTCCAGAATCATTTCGAAGTCCGAATTCAGCTGAGGAAATGGAAGGAGCAGAAGTGGTTGTGGAAGAGGTGCTTATTCCCTCCGAAATTTCATGAGCGTTGTCAATGGCATCGCTGAAAACCGTTTCAGTTGTCTGTTCGTCCAAATTTTCTTCTGTGACTGTATCATCTTCTCTGTAATGTTCCGTTACATCCCCTTCCAAATTTTCAGTTGCAGGTGAACGATCAGTCGCCTCTTCTTCATTGGACTGCGGTAAATTTTCTCTTGGTTGCGTGAATGTAACTCTAGCAGACTCTGCTAACGGGAAATCATTATTTTCGATAAAGTCTGCAGGAGGGTCATCTAGGGAGGTTTCTTGAATCACTGGTGGTTCTGTGGTCAAATTGTTCCTCAGTCTCCTCCTTCGTTCTTTGACCCACTCTGGTACTCTTCGACCACCAGGTCTCTTGCGCCGCTGGCCTTGAGGCAACCGCTTTCGTAGTTTGGGACTTTCATCATCCTGTTGAGCACCGTCTGATATAGTTTTCATCACCAGACCAGCTTCCGCTAACGAAAGCCCCGTTTCTTGTATTTCATCTGCAGGAGTTAACTGCTCGGACAGAACACTTTCAGTAGTTGTTGATGTTGGTCGGTTGCGACCTCTTATCCTGTTCGAAATATTCAGTCTACTGCGAGCATTTGCAGGTGGAGTTGTTGAAGTCGTTGTAATTCTACTCACCACGGTCGGTTTGCTGCCGGATGATGCTTGATCAGCATTTTGTGTCGGCCTAAATCTTTGTCGCAATTTGCGAGTGAACACTAGAGGATGTGTTTTCTTTGCAGGCTCTTCATGTTTTTCCTTCACTTCATCCGTTCCTTTGTTCAATCTCTGCCTTTTTCGAACAACATTGAACGGAGGGAAGATCGTTGTTTCTTCTGTTTTGTCGACAAATCCTAATGAACTTTCATTCTCGTGGTCTGAAATCAAAGCTGGCGTCGTCGATGCAAATTGAGTAATAGAATTCGTGGTCGATCTTCCATTTGATTTTGTACCTACTACCCCGAAATTTGGTTTGAATGTATTCTCTTTTAGAATGACAACTGAATCCTCCACTTCTTTATCGTTAGGATTTTCATGCTGAATTTCTTCGCCTTCATTTTTTTCGTTAACAAAATCTCCTTGAGGAACATCAATTTTCTCTGGAGTTGGTGAAACATTATCAGGTTGAGGCCTTAGGAAATGTCCGTCGTTGAAGGGCTCTAGCTGATTAAAGGGCGGTGGTTGCTGGGGCAATCTCCCATTATTACCCTGGAATCGTCCACGCAATCCCTGATTTGAAATCGCTGGGAGAGCTGAAATCTGACCGGTATGTCTATTATCAGTGATGGGTGAAGCCAAATGAAGATTATCGTGCGTTTGTTGGGAATTTCTGAAAGGCTCGTGCAACGCAGGCGGAGAAGCTGTGCTAGATGAAAGGAACGGGCGTCTCGCCTCATTCCGTGCTATCTCAAACTGCTGCTGGGATGACACGCTTTGTTGCTGAGATTCTAGCGAGTTCGGAATTGAATGAGGTACAGCAAAAGAATTGAAGAATGGTTGGATCTTGAAGGGGCCAACAGTTCTCACTTCTGATGAGGCTCTATCGCTTGTAAATCCGAGAGGCCTAACTGTGCTGCTAGACGGGAAAGCTCTATTAGGAGAAAACGGAGGTGAAGTTGTTGATTCAAAGAATGAAGGGATATCGGGAGATCCTGTAAACGACGGAACACTTCCATCTGGCCTAATGGTGGTGAAAAAAGATGGTGAATCACTTGAAAAGGCTTGGCCGGCGCCAGAAATAAATGGACTATCGGTTGAATCAAAGAACGCTTCTGTATTTTCATTCACAAATCTATTTTCATCGATAACGGATGATTGCGTAGTCGTTATGAATGGACTACTGCTTGGAATTGATGTAGTGAATGGAAGGGATCTTGGAAGGTCAAACGTTGAGGTGCCGAGGAAAGGGAAGGGTGTTGCTACAGAGGAAAATGTCGACGTTGGAACGCGGAAGCGATTTTTAGGTGAAAAAGTTGTAATTCTTGGAGCAGCTGTAGTTTGATGGAAAGCGTGATTTCCTCGGAAATGGTTATGCGGAGAGAAGGGTGCTTGTGGTGATGGTGGAGCAGATTGAGGGAAAGAAGTAACGCGAATTGGAATTCTATCATCATGCGCTTCATTCGAAGGTTGCCTATGTTGTTCTCTGTCATGAGTATTCACTCTAACATTTGATTGCAGACGAACGACTGGCGGTCCAGCATCTACGAATTGGGTTGCAATGGAATTTACTGGGTTAACATTATGATTTGTTTCTGGTCTACCAGATAGGTCTTTTTCTCTCGACCGGGCACTTCCCTGTTCCTGCTTCTTTATCATTTCATCGAATCGCGGATCATGTGGCGGAGGAATACTCTGTACTCCATTTAGATCTGGTTTTCTGTCCCGGAATGAAACGGTAGCTGGTGTTCCAATATTTGAAAGAATATTTAGTGCAGGAATGTGGATGCCACGCTGCAATTGAGGAGCAGCTGTGGTAGATGAATGTGAAAAAGTTTGAGGCGAGACGAAGTTATTAGATTCCGTAGTTGCAACAGACCCTGACCTAGGTTGTTCCAACGGTTTCGGTTCACCTCTAGATGTAACTCGAATTCCTTTGGCAGGTATAAGTTTGAGATCTACAGATTCTGTTCCGGGTAACTGAACATTTCTTTCTTTGCTGTTTGAAGGGAACGAAGAAAATGTAGATGACGCAACTTCGCTGCCGCGCCCGCTGTTTTCAATGAGAGCGTGGATTTCTTGATTACTAACCGCATTGGGAAGAGGCTGGAATGCTTTTTTGGATGACGCAAGGCGTGAGTTATCCCCTTTATTGGTACGAACAGCAGAGCTCGATTGGAAACTTTCGTGGCTTTGGATTCCAGGATGAGCAATATTCTGATTGACGAAAGATCGGGGTCCATCCTCGGTCGTAGAGAAACCATGTGCGACAGGCAATGGTCTTGAGCGTTCTGACGACTCTCGAACTGTGTTTTCTTTTAATGGCCTCTCTTTAGTAATTGGTTTCGGTTGCGGTTGATTGAACCCACCACTATTGGTGAAGTGGTTAACTCTACTCGGTTGTGGCTGACTTAATCCAGCGTGGTTAATGAACGAGTTACCTCCACTTGGATGTGGGTGAACGAACACTCCGTTATTTGGGAAGAGATTACCTCCGATTGGTTGTGGCTGATTGAACACACCAGTGCTTACGGGCCTACCAATTTGTTGGAAATTCTTTGGAGATTGTGAAATGCTTGGTTGAGATCGTGGTACATTTTGATTGAAATTTTGAAGTCGAAGTTGATGTTCAAAGTTCCCTGGACTCAAATTAGTTCTTACAATGAATCGCGGATCGGAAAAATCTGGTTGTTGGCCCTGACTGGGTACAGCTAAAGTATGAGGCTGGGGTCGTGGTCTTTCAGATAATTCTTGAGCTTCCTTTTTGTTGTTTACTGTTTCCCTGAACGAATTTTCTCGAGAGATTGCATGGCCCCCGTCAGTTTCTTTAAGTCTATGATCTGGTCTGCTATGTTGTGGTAAATTAAAGTGGTCGGTTTGTTGCTGATGTATTGCAGGGAGAGGCGTCCTTTCGTTGCGTATTTCTGGTCGACCTACGTTTTGTAAAATAAGTTCTGGTTGGGAGAAATTTTCTGTTTCGATTTCGTTCCGGTTTCCCCTGGTTTGCGGAAAAGAGAAGTCTTGCTGGCTGTCAAAAATATCTTTACCTATGACATGTCTTGTGGTATCTTTTATTGAGTTACCTCTTGCTTCAAATAGTGGCGGGGGAGGAGTAGAGTGATTCCTTACTACGTTTTCTCGACTCGTTTGTTTGGCTGTTGATGAACCAGAAACAGGATTTACCGATGAAGGAGACGGCAGCTTCTCAGGTTTCACGAGGGGAATTTCGTTCGACAAATGAGACACGGAGGACGGCAACGACAACCTGACAAAGCCAGGAGGCAGAGGCCTGGGATTGCTGTGAGTTAAAAATGTAGATGGCAGTTTATTATTGGATTTTTGAGTTTGTTTTTGAGGCACCAAAGGAATTTTCACATATCCTGGTGGCGGAGGAATGTTGGAGGGTGCAATAAACACCCTAGGTAATTCTCCATTCTTCGACCTGGTAGCTTCTGGAGAGCTCAGAGCTGCTTCCAACAGCTGCAGCTGCTCTCGGGCAGCCGCTTCTTTCCCTTCAGCCGCAACCAATGTCATCGGGAACGACTTTATATTTCCCGTTGATCCTCCTTGAATTCGATGGTCCCTCTTTTGTTTAGCAGAGGATGGCGCATTCAAAACAGCTGGTGCGAAATCGGTTGCTGGTGCAGGACTAGATTCAGACGCGATCATCTTATTCGAATGTTCATCAGCAATGTTTGAGAGCCCACGCTGAGGAATGTACACTAACTGTACACTTGAATTATCCGACGTCTGGAACTTTTCCATTGCCATCTTGACAATGGTTGTTGAACCATCGGGAGTAAGACGAGTTGGAACGCCGGGCTTCAGATTCTCGAAGGTAATTGTGTTTAACTTGGCCACATGCTTGGTGCTGGCACTTGTTTGCTGGTCATCTTCGATGGCACGACTGCCTTGTCTGCACGAGAGACAAGGTGCGTGCAGAGGTTGCCATGGAGGGGCAAACTGCCAGTCCACGACGGGGCTCTGATTTGCCGAACTCGTCGACGCCGCAGCCCCAAGCAGCAGCAACGCACATAACCTGCAAAAATGAAAATATTCGTTAATAATAGCTCAATTGAAGAGAATCGAAAAGAAAAAATTGTATGAAAAGATAGAAATTCGAAAAATATATGACGAAACAATAACGCACGGGCAATATTTTTTGATGTTTTAACCATTTTTTGACGCTTTCAACGATATTTAAGCTTTACAACATATAGAATTGGATAACGCGGGCGCAGCAAATATCAACATGAGAATGCTGGCAATTCACGATAATTTCGCTCATTTTTCTTAAATTTCTCTGCGGACTTTCACTTTGGCAAACTTTGCAGTGTCGCCTAAGTATGACAAGTGAAACATGAGCATGTATGAGTTCGACATGATGCAATGACGTGATACAGCACAATAGACTCCTGTATGTATGCCTCCTTCTTTGCTATTTTGTAATTAAAGGCCAGCCTATCGCGTAGGCACGCGTTCTCTTTAGCTATGCGAAGCAGTTCTGGGACTGCAGGATTTAGGGAGTTTATGTTTTTTATCGTTAAGTGTGTCTTGGCTGGGATGTGAACTTGGCATTTTACGACCTTCATATGCGACTTAAGAGCATTCTTTATTGTACCGTAAATGAAAGAGAACAATTCACATGCATTATCAAAATTTACTTTAGCCCGAGAATTCCCAGGTCAGCCCAATCGTAATTTTTACGGCGCCTCGTGCAGGAAGACAACGCCTATACACGGTAGCTGCTGGTTCTTTCGGCAACGTTAGCTCGTGACTTGGATAGACAGAAGGCAGGCGAGCGTACGTACTTTTATTAACTACCGCGCTTTGTTACGAAAGATTTATGCACATACTTTGAGTGTTTGTTTGCTCACTGCATACCGCTCATGGCTGAATTGGCGGAAGTGTTATTACTGCGCGCCTTCTTGAACCTCGCTTTGAACTTAATTTGTTTATGAATTTTGGTTTAGCTTAAATCAAGTTTTATATGTTATTTAATTAAATTTGTCAGTAAAACAGTCATTTTTTGGTTGAACCGTAAATAATGGAGCTGCAAATGTCAAGGGCATACTGAGGGAAGATTTGTTGAACATATTTCTGATCACCGAAATAACCTAGCGAACCGAGTAAATAAGCTTAACAATAATAGTTATACACAGCACTACTTCACGAAGCAAGGCTTCGTCAAACTTACAGTGATAAGGTCATATTTTTATCACGGTAGTATAATCTTTTTATGCCATTGGCTACCTCCTATAAAACTGATATAAACAAGTCATCAAACCCTCTTGAGACCCTTCGGTTCCGTAGCTCCGCTTTAACCTCAGAAGCTCAGAGTCAGACTAGATCTGAAAGCACACACAAATGCACTCGCTTTCCGCAATTTCCTGGCTGCAATTCTTACGGCATTGCGAGCTTATGATGCGCTAATACCATGCCTCGCAGGGAATGAAAGGAATGGCAGGTGCGACCGCAGACACTGAACGAGCCATTTAGCCGACGTATAGGCCGGAATACCGCAACAATCGAGCTTTTGAAGCCTAAAAGAAAGCATTAGAAACCTCGAAAGTGTTCCACCAAATTCAATCTTTTATAGCCTATATAAAAGTCGAAGGGAGAGCTATCTGAATTGAATAATGTCCATAAATGACAACAGTTAGCATCGGTCCTCAGATTCTCCAATTAGTGAACTGTAGATAATAATATTTTGATGACACATATGCCTGTATATAATTTTTTTTGGCGATGTGATCTGGGCGTAGAGAAATCGAGTTAGCTTTCTTCGCGGCCGCGCTGACCGCTTCAGGAGTTGGTGGCTGAAGTCATCTGATCAGTTTTTGTGAGGTCGATATTATGCACTGTGAGGTGGACGGTATAGAGGGTCTCACTAGCACAACTCCTGCCTCAGATTGACCGATATAAACCGGATGCAAGTAATTATTATTGGCCTTCAGAATCGTGAAAAATTCTTGCTTGTTTTTCTTGGAAGAACGCGTGATAAGCTTATTGAAAAGTTTGATAAACTGTTGCAAAATTGAGGAAGCTCAGTTCCTAATTTGATAATTGTATGGCCATTATTATCCATGCGCACGACATCGGTAGACAGATTTTAAGTCTTCATTGCCTTGTCTACGACTTCATGTATAGAATAGAATAGAGTGTCGTCACTGAAGAATAGGCCCATGGCCTGTTGCCGATTCTTGAACTTTTCGTGACTTGATTCACAAGGGATCCGGCCTTTGGAACCCGATCTTTCCATAGCTGACGATTGATTGAGATAGCTGTTGGACTTATTGCCTGGTCCGTAATTTGCTAGGCATTTTAAGACTGAACATATGCTCCTGCATAGCTTCGTCTAGTCTGTTCTTGAAGGCTTTCATACTCAGAGCGTCAACGATGCTATCAGGAAGGCTGTTCCACATGTCGGTGACTCGAAGCGAGAATAAATGTTGTCGCAAGGATGTGTAAGAACGCAGTTTTTTTATTTATTTTTCGTCAGGTTATGATATAAACCGTGTGATAGACTTCATGTATAATAGTGAGGTTATCATGCATTCTGTGTGATAGACTTGATGCATAATAGTGAGCTTATCATACATAAGGGTACGCACACAGTGAAAGCAGGTTGCCAGCGTGCTGGTTACCTGCTCAGGCTGGCGCCTGAAACCGTAGAATACAGAAGCCTATTCGTACAGGTTTTCACTGTGAACACTTACATTATTATCCTATGTTCATTCTTGTGTGCAGGTTGGAGCAGGTTGCCCGCGCGGGCAAACCTGCTTCCACTGTGTGCGTACCCTTAGGCATGATAGACTTCAGGTATAATATTCCTTATTCAATTTTTTTTTATTTCTGGCAAAATATCAATACAGCTTCCATATTTTACAAACTTTCCCAAAATTGTAACCTGAATATCTATTGCATAGTCAGTCTCATATAAATTTCCCATTGATTTCAAAACGGCATAGGTCATATTCAGTCTCGCGTGGTACGGCAAGCAAAAGTCCAGCCCGTAAATGTCACTGGCAGACACGCCGCGTAACGCTGCTTTCGCTGGACGCGGTCACCAGTAACGCAATGAATTATTTCCGCGTGACGCGCATGTTTGCCGTGAACGCGGCATCATCGCGTGTGTGATATAGAAAAGCGTTCCTAAGAGCGACGATATAAGTCAGAATGACCTCTAAATCATTAATTTTTTATGCAGCAATGCATCAATGTAAACATATATTTATAAAATAGTTATTTGTTATAAAATAGATCCACCTGAAAATTGGTATGTTGTTCGTTTTGACCTGCTTGGTAAATATTTAAGAAAAATATTTGTTCATTTATCTAAAATTTCGCTTGACTCAAGAACGTTTCAATTCTCAGGAGAAAATCGATCGGACGATGCATCGTTGGAACTCTATAAACCGATTGACACTTCAATTCACTATACATTTTACGGTTAGAAAGTTGACAGTAGAAAATATTAAAGGCCTTAAGGAGAGCGACGCATAGTATCGGTTATCGGTTTCTGCATTTAATTTTCTCAAACTTCGCTTTCATATTCATTGCTTGGGAAACGCGAGGAACTGAAACTATATCCCGCCCTATAGAAAAGCGGCCACAATTTCAATGCAAAACCATGTATCTTCACGTCTCAGGAAGCTTGAATTTTTATAAAGAATGTAATAATAAAATATTTGTACATTTTACTCAAAGCTTTTCTGTGACCAGATTCATACAGAATCATGTCTTTACCCAGGTCAGTTTCATTTGTTAATTGATGTATGATTATGTATCGATGATACATTAATTATATGCTGTATAATTATCTGATCGTAGATACATCGCAATTACCCGCAGATACATTAGGTACATGATTATCATGTTGCAGATTAGCTCACAGGTATACTGTTCCAGCTAATTGATTATCTTTAACAATCACACTGTTAGAAAAATTACCGTTAAACGGTATTACCGGCGTTTCAGTGGCCGGTCGGCACGTGAAAAGAAACACCGTGTCACCGTTTTTATTCTAATTTAACACTAGAAATATGTAAAACAACTGATGAAAACGGCGAAATAGTTTATTTTCACGGGGCGCTCGGCCACTATAACGCCAGTGGGACCGTTTTTTCTAACAGTGCAGGATCACGATGACCGATTCACGCAACGCTACTTGGTTACTTCATTGCATTAATTATAATTATTGGCTTACCAATCTTCCCGTGTATCATTATTGGCTTGCGGTGAGAACTTATCGCATGGGTGTCGTTAATTAATATGCCTCGCTAAGGCAGCGCTCTGTGATTAATCTGCAATGATGTATGCCTGAAGATTTGAAAATTTTATCCAAACGTATAAGATTAAAAAATCGATTTAATTCTTTAATGGCACGATTTAAGACTGGAAATACTAAAAAAACTCGATTTAGTACCCTCGAGACTCGATTTAAGACTGGACATACATACATGGTTAAATACATGAAAGGCTCGATTGAGCACATGATTGACTCTATTAAACATTTGAAAATCTCGGTTAAACAATCGAAATAGTTCATTTAAACTCGAAAGACTTGATTCAAGATTGATAAGATTTTCTTCATAAGAAAAATTTTTATTTAACATTGGAGGACTTGATTCAAGACTTTGTGTAGCGCGTTGGTGTGAGTTTCATGAGTATTATTTACCAGCAGAATTCAATAATTGCATCGTGAGTGCAAAAAATTTTTCATATTAAAAATGTTGAAAAACCGAAAAAATTGACGATTTCATGGAGCACGGTTGACATTTTTTATTTTTATATTCGATTTTTATTCATTCACTTCATTGCAATGACAAAAATGCGCATTTAGACACCAAAAATGAGGCCTAATCCATTTTGATAACGAATTATCTACATGAGCACATTACACATCATGAACGTTGCACACAAATTTGGATGATGTAGTAGAGTGACAACATTCCTGCAAAACTTTAAAGTTTTTGAATAAATGTATCATGCAACTGCAAATACAAGCATTACCAGAGGTAAACCCGTCTTGCCGCC